GTTAGGGGAAAAGGGAAGTGCATAGAAGCTGCATCTGTCACCCTCTTCCCCATATAGTTCCCCTCAGTGCTCCTCTTACTGGGGTGAGCCTGCAGCCAAGTTCCCTGAATCTGGGAAGGGTAAGTCCTCAGGACTGAGGCAGGGGCTTGTTGTTGTTGTCATTTCTGACTCATAGCGACCCTGTATAGGGTTCTCAAGAAGCGGCTGGTGAGTTTGAACCACCAACCTTGCGGTCCAGTACTGATCCTACAGTGCCACACCATGCTGCAACCCTCTCAGTAGGTGCCATCTGTGAGTCTGCCAGGACACAGTATAGAAGACTGGTTCCAACCTCCACAACAGCCTCAGGCGTTAGTAAAGAGGTGTGGGCTCAGGAGGTCTATGGGAACTGTTTGCTGGTGCCAGGTGGGGTGAGAATCCAGGAGGCAGGGGAGGCCCAGGGCCACATTCCTGGCTCAGAGGGGTAAGGGTAGTGTGGGAAACAGCTGCTGGTCAGCTCTGATTTTGGATTCCTCTGTTCCTTCTATCCTTCCTTCATCTGCCTCCTTGGGGGAATGGGAGGCACTGAGAGAAGGGGCCAGAGGTAGCTAATCTCTCTGGCCGCCACCCCACCGATGTGGACCTGTCTCTGGGCCTTGGCCTCCACCAGCTGTTACCAAACTTTCTTTGTCTAGAGTTAGAGCCAGAGCCTCCAGGGCAGGAGGGAGCCAGGATTAATCCAGACACGTGGCTTAATCAAGAAAAGATCAACTCGGGGTTGGAGAGCTAAAGGCATCGCTCAGGAGACAGGCAGTCCCTTGGCCTACAGAGGCTGGGCTGGATCAGGATGAAGCAAACACCAGGTTGTCCCAGGCCCTTGGGCTATGAAACAGTGGCCTGAGGATTGGGAGGCCTCTAGTCTGGTTCTGGTTGTGTTGTGTGACCAATGGCATGTTCCTGACACTCTCCGAACCTCGGTTTGCTCAGCGCACATGTGTAACCAGGGGTGGACAACCACCGTGGTTACAATCATGGCTGAATTGCATGGTGCAGAGCAGAGAGAGCACAGAAGCTAGGGGAGGGAGTTGTTGGGGAGAGCTTCCCTGGAGGAGGAGGACTTTGAGCTGCATCCTAATGAGGAAGGAGCACCTTGAGTAGGGGGACCACAACAGAAGGCAAAACAGTCTTGTTGTATCCACAGGGCAGGGACCAGGGGAAAATTGCTGGTTCTCACTAGAGTCTGAATATGTGGTCACCTTGTCAATCCTGGTGACCCAGCAAATGAGTCCCTTCCCCACTCTGGGTATCATTGTTCTCATCTATACAATGATCACATGATCTATGGTCCCTTCCAGCTCTGATTGTATGAAGTAGGTAGAAGGTGGGCTTAGAAACCCACTGAGATGGGGTGGGGCAGGAAGCTATGGGAAGTTATTGAGCATTGGGGTGTCTGACGGTAGGATGTTGAAGGGAAATGAACTTGATAAGGAGTGAAGTAAACTTCCAGACAGCAAGGCTAGATAAAAATCATGGGACCCAATCAAGAGGCAGATCGGAGCCTGGGGAAGACAGGGCTGACCAAGGCAGGAGCTTCAGGGGGACTCTCACTGTAAGCAGCACCTGCTCCTGGCCCTAACCTCTCTGAGCCTTACTGTCTACATCTGTAAGATAGGTGAGTCCATTTCACCCAGACTGAGTAGTCCAGGGGGCAATGGGCATCTGTCACATAGCAGGTGCTCACCGAGCAGTTCTCTCTTTGGTCCTGAATGTGGACCATAACCTGGAGAAGATGGCAGAGTTGTGTGTTGGGTACACTGGCCCCAGGTTCCCTAAACAGCCCACCAGGGTTCCCCCATATGTGGGCCGTACAGGGGGGGAGACCATTCCCCACCACCTCCGTCTGCAGACAATTGGGCATTTCCTCCTGGTGCAGGTTAACTTATTTTTCACCAAGGAAATCTTGGGGCTGGGACTAGCCTTGGTTGAGAGCAGATTCCTTGGCATTTAGGAGCAGGTTGAGGGAAAGTTGGAATGCAGGGTGTGGAGGAGGAGGAGGGAGTTCTCACAGGTGAAGGAGCACTGGGCCTTAATGTTCCTATCTGCAAAATGGGAATTAGAAAAAGCCCTGTGCAACGTCTCTCCCTGGTGAGGGGCCAGATGTGAGGGCTTCACAGCTCAGTCAACAAATGTCAGGGATGTGTCATTGCGTCTCGGCTGGGTAAATGTTGTCACCTGCCCTTCCCATTCATCCCCACCAAACCCTCATTCCACCCTGCTCTAAAACACGGCAGCTGCCTCCCAGCCTACCTGGGGCTGAGGCCAAGCAAACAGGCCACGAGGGAAGCAAGTTGCCCTGCTTCTTGGAAAAGTTTCCATTTCTCTGGCATGCAGCCTGGGTTGGCAGAGACTGTCCTAACGTGGCAGGCCTGAAGGTTCTGGGGACGTGGATGGGCAGGAGGCAGGCAAAGGTGGTGCGGGAGGGTCCCTAGGGGTGGGGCTGCAAGGGGGGTAGGGCATGGGCACAGGCCTGGGTGGGGATCCAGGGACAGGATGCGCTGTTGGCGCCACCTGGGTAAATAACATGGGCCCACAACACACATGTGTGTTTGCACAGAAGGACTTGAAATAATTCCAGGCCTGCCCTCTGTCCCCCACAACCCCACCTCTCCCTCAGCCCCTGCCCACCACACCCTACCCTGAACTTTCTTCCTCATCACTTAAAGGAGCCCTTGAAGGGAAGATTCTAAATCAAAGGGAACCACCTTTATCTTGTTGGCATTTCTCTGCCATGGGACAGGCTGATGTGTAAGGTTGGGAAGGTTGAACACTACCCAAGGGTGCCTGGCTGAGAGAGCCAGAGGGGCTGAGATCCCACCTGGGCGTCATTCATTAAGCTCTGCTACCTAGAGAGGACAAAGGCATCGCTTTCCGAGTTGTACAAAGGTGTCGAATGGGCTAGCTGGAAGCCAGAGGTGACTTCCAAGCAGGGTTCTTTCCCTTGTCCCACCTGTAACGTCTCAAGCTCACAATAAGGCAGCTGTGGGCTACAAGCTTAGGCTAAGTCCATCTGTCCCACAGGGTGACTTGAGATGGGCCAGGGAGCCCCACCTCCCCACTATCCCAAGTGACACCATAAACTCCACCATTATAGGGTCTGATGATGGTGGTTATGTGACATGGAGTCAGTTCCAATTCATAGGGACCCTGTAAGTCGTCTTTCTCCTGCAGAGTGGCTGGTTAATTTAAACTGCTGTCCAACTTGTAACCCACTATGCTTCCAGGGATCCTTATTAGAGGGTCTGTTATTGTTAAGTGCTGTGGAATCATTTCTGACTTATAGCGACCCTGTACAAGGTCAGCAGTTCGAAACTACCAGCTGCTCCGCGGGAGAAAGATGAGGCTTTCTACTCCCGTAAAGATTTACACCCTCGGAAACCCTGTACAGGGTCGCTATGAGTCGGTTCCGACTCCACGGCACATAACAACAACAACATAGGATTTCCAAGGAGTGGCTAGTGTGGTAGAACCGTCAACCTTGCTGTTCAAACCAACCTAGAGGGTCTATAGGCCCTTTAATTAAAGCCTCACCCCCTGGTACTTGTCAGATGCATTTAAAGCAGCGCTTCTCAAACTTGGGCATCACAATCTGCCTGGAGGGCTTGACTCAATAACTCTGGGGTGGACCTGAGAATTGGTGCTTCTAACAAGTCTCCAGACAGTGCTGATGTTCCTGGTCTGGGGAGCATACGTTGAGAACCACGGCTTTAAATGATCAGTACCTCTGAGAAAGGACACAAGTTAACTTGCCTTGACAGGTTTATATGCTGCTTCCCTCCTTGCTAACGGTTCCCTGTATGTTTGGGAGTGAGATCTGCTGATCATCTTCCCGGGCCTGGCCTTGATTTAGTGTTGAATCTCAAGCTCACAAATCATTGACGTATCCTAGAAAAATGTGCAATTCCCAAGTCCCTGCCTCACCCGAACTGTGAGCTCTCTTCTGGAGTTAAGAGGAAGGTCCTGGGAGAAGCACAGCCTAGGAGACCCATGCAGAGTGAGGTCCCTAGTTCCTCATGTCACAGGCCATCGGGTTCCTCCCAGGGACCTTGAGGGGGCAGCAATGAGGAGTGAGTGTCTGCATGGTTACAAGTCTCAGTTGTTCTCCATCTCCTCCTGCCTCCCCCCAAAAGCCAGCTTATAGGTCAGCACGAAGACCTCACCTCTGGACAGCTGTGCATTCCTCCAGGACTTGGGGGAAGAGTGGAGGGTCTGGGAACTGAGATGGGCCAGGGTGCAGCTCCTCTCAGGGGAGGAGGAGGTAGGTTGGGTACCAGACCCCCAGCCCTGGAGGTAGAAGGCAGGGACAAGCACATCTTTGAGTTTGGTCACTGAGGAATGATACTCAGAATTTATTTACATCCTCCAAGAGGCCTTGTGGGAGGGCAAATCCACCATCCCACACATTTGTTCATCTCTTCTTTCACCTGGCTGGTGGAGATGATGGTGGCCTACAGGATGCTCCCTTCCACCCAACCCCTAGCCTCTTCAAGGGCAGAAGGAAAGATTTAAGTTACCTCCCAGAAGTAACTTCCTTCACAGAACAGTAGACTGGGACCTGGATATGGACTGACTTGGGGGTAGAAGCCTGGATATAAATCAGGGCTCCTTTTCCAGGCCTCAGTTTGCTCATCTGCTAAGTGGGGCTAATCACACCTTCCATTGTGAGGACTGAATGAGGCCAAGTACCCAGGAGGTTGTTTAATGCACAATATGTGTATCAAGATTTGCTGCTCCCAGCCAATCTGACTTTCCTTGGAGAGTCACAGAGCTGCCCATTTGCCCTCCTGCCTCCACCCCCACACTGTCTTTCCCTGTCTGCCCAGCCCTGTCCCAGCTGCCCAGTGACCCGGAAGCCCTTGACTCTCTCCCAGGCCCAGCCACTGCCCACTGGGCTCTTCATTCCTGTAACCAGCTTAGTGTCCCCCATGGGGATGCTGACTCTCCTCCCTCCTTTACTTGTGCAGACGCAGCCACCAGCCCGAGCAGCAGCGGCATGGGCAGCGCCAGCCCGGGCCTGAGCAGCATGCCCGCTGGCCGCCTCCTGCTGCCCACCGACGCGGTATTGCGGACAGGACTGGAGAAGGCAGCCATGGGAGTGGTGGGGCCTGAGAGACGAGACTGGAGCCCCAGTCCACCTGCCACACCCGAGCAGGGCCTATCTGCCTTCTACCTCTCCTACTTTGACATGCTGTGCCCTGAAGACAGCAGCTGGGTGGCCAAGGGTCCCGGGGCCAGCGTTCGGGAGCAGCCACTCGAGGAGCCTGAGCAGTGCCCGGTCATCGACAGCCAGGCGCCAGGGGGCAGCCTGGACTTGGCGCCAGGCGGGCTGACCCTGGAGGAGCATTCGCTGGAGCAGGTGCAGTCCATGGTGGTGGGCGAGGTACTCAAGGACATCGAGACGGCCTGCAAACTGCTTAACATCACCGCAGGTGAGCCCCTCCAACATGCCCATCTCACCAGGTGGGGCGCAGCACAGCTGAGATCGCTGGAAGCATTGCCAACAGGGCTCCTCACCCCAACCTCACGCAGTCCCAGAGATGCCTGACAGTCAGCCCATAACACACACACGCGCACACACACACACACACACACACACACACACACGAGTCGTGGGCCAGGGTTGGAAAGTTCTAACCCACCTCTGTACTCCAACCACACCCAACCAGTACCCCTACTTGGGAGGTGCTGAAAGAAGCAAATTCAAGCCCTGTACTATCTGACTCATAACCTCCTCCAGGACTCATCTCTGCTCTCCTCTTTTTCACTGCTTCTGCCATAGTAGCCTCTTTGCTGTTCCTAGAACACTCCTACCCCAGGACCTTTGCACCTACTGATCTCTCAGCCTGGAAGTTCACACTCGGTTCTTTTGCTATTTCTAGAATACTCCCATTTTAGCACCTTCCCTGGAATATTTCTTGGCTCACCCTTACCTCCTTCAGGTCTTGACTCAAATGGCACTATCTCAATAAGACCTTCCCTGGCTTCGCTATTGAAGTTGTTCTCCACACCCTACCTCCTATTCCCGTTCTCCACTTCACTTCTCTTATCGCGCTTATTACCACCTGACATGCTACACTCTTTATTTGTGTAACCATTTTACCGTCTACCTTTCCAGCTCAGATGTATACTCCACAAGACTGGAGGATTTTTGTTTGTTTACTGCTACGTTTCCAGTTCCTGGAATATCACCTTGCACTTGGGCTTCAGACTGGTTCAAAATGGTTCCATTATGTCTAATGGAAACCAGAGCAGCTACTTGTTGCATAGCAACCAAATCTCTTGTGTGGCAAATTCTGGTCTGAGTAGGAAACAGGTAAGAGTTGCACCGCTCAAAGATGGTGGCCAACTGCTCTGCTTTGGACATATACCTGCTGCCGTCTTTGAGAGAACACTGATGCCTTTTCCCTGTTGTTGTTAAGTGCTGTCAAGTTGGCTCTGACTCCTAGTGACCCTGTATAGGGTTTACAAGGAACAGCTGGTGGTTTTTAACCACTGACCTTGTAGTTCAAACTGATCTTGCAGTCCAGTGCATTATCAAAATCCCCACTCATAAGAGATTTGGTTGCTCTGCAATTCATATGCAGCCTTTGTTTTCATTGGCCATGACTGAACCGTTTGAAGGCTTGCCTTGCACATAATGTTGTTGTTGTTAAGTGCCGTCGAGTCGGTTCCGACCCATAGCGACCCTGTACAGGGTTTCCGAGGTTGTAAATCTTTACGGGAGTAGAAAGCCTCATCTTTCTCCCGCGGAGCGGCTGGTAGTTTCGAACCGCTGACCTTAAGGTTCGCAGCCCGATTCGTAACCACTACGCTACCAGAGCTCCTTTTAGATGCTCAATAAATAGTTTTAAATGACTTCAGCCACAAGCACTACCAGCAGTGTTTCAGGACTGGAGGATTGAATGTTGAACTTAGGTTCACGGAATATAGGTTACACTTGGGACACAGATAATAAACACATGGATAAATGCATTTCTAAAAGGGTGGTGATGTGGGTCCTGGTGTGGTGGGACATCAGGGGGCCTGGCATGTTTGTGACGGCCTGCCCTTGAGATGTGATTGTGGAGCTGATACCACACGTCCCCAGTCTCTGTCTTCCAGAATCTCTCTAGCTTTGGGGGGCCTGATACCTCTCCCTGGGTCTCTGGGTCCTGGCTTCTTCTTCCTGGCACCTCCCCACTCTTCCCCACTACCCCAGGCCCAGCTCCTTCCTCCTCCAGGGACTCAGCTGGGCCCACCCCACCCCCAGTTGCTTTTCCCAGTTAGGCAGCTCCCACAGATGCCCCAGTCCTCCTGGTTCCCAATCCCCTTGCCTGCCCTATCCCAGCAGGTTTTCTCATGGTGCCTCTACCTCTACTCTGGACTGGGAGGGGCCTACTCCCTGAACAATGGGGACAGGAACAAATTGCTCTGACCTCAGGAAGGAAAATGAGCTTATTAAGTGGGGGTAGGTCAGTCAGCAGGTCACCCAACTGGGACACTGGTTCTGACCACTGTGTTCATTTGGAGGCCCCATTGTGTCTGCACCCACCAGTCTGGCTCCCAGCCCGCGCCTTTCCAGGCTCACCCAGAACAGCTCCCCAGGGGACGTCTAGGATACTGAGCCAGTGTGCCCTCCCAGCTCTGGGGTCTGTGGCTGAGCCCTACCAGTCTATACTCTGCCATTCATTTATTCACACACTTGAGCTGCTGCTATGCAGCTCTTTGGCAGGTGCTGAACAATGGTTTCCTCATCTGTAAAATACAAGTGGGTGATGGGGACTGTGAGTTGTAAAACTAATCCCTGGGTGTGTTGTTCTCGGGTTCTTTAAAAAGCTTGCAGAGGGCATGAGTTGGGAAGGAACTCACCTTCATGTCACTGCCCCCTCCCAAACTGAACTCCCCCAGTAGATCCTTGGAGGGTCTGAGGATCCATGGGAGGGCCTAAGGCCCCAGTGGAGTGAGGGATGCAGAGGCCCCAAGCTGCCTTGCCTTGAGCTAAATTTGTTTTCAGGGACCCAGTTCCTCTCTTCTTGGCAGCCCCCTCCTCAGATCCCAAGTTGCTCCCAGGTCCCTCAAGTCCCTGTCAAGTCCTTGACCTATCTCCATCCCAAGGAGGACATGGCCCTGGACCACAGCTCCCCACAGGAGCCCCGTCAGAACACAGTGGTCCATTATTTGGGGTGCTGTTATCACCTGGCCCTTGGTGCTGAGGGGGTGTCTCTTGACTAGACCCTGTGGACTGGAGCCCTGGCAACGTGCAAAAGTGGCTCCTGTGGACGGAACACCAGTACCGGCTGCCCCCCGTGGGTAAGGCCTTCCAGGAGCTGGGGGGCAAGGAGCTGTGCGCCATGTCTGAGGAGCAATTCCGCCAGCGCTCACCCCTGGGTGGGGATGTGCTTCATGCCCATCTGGACATCTGGAAGTCAGGTGAGCCAGGGTGTGGTGTAAGCTGCCCCTCAGGATTCCCAGGGGAACATCAGGCTAGGAAGTGGGCTTAGGGATCTCCCCCAGGGATGTACTCCTTGGACTCCATTCAGGACTCTGTTCTGAATCTCAGATCTGCAGAGTACGTACATTGCTTACATAGAATATGGTGCCAGAGTCTACTGTGCACATAGTCTATGCCTTAACAAGCAATATCTCTATATATTTATCTATCTGTCCATCCATCCATCCATCCATCCATCCATCCATCCATCCATCCATCCATCAGCTCTAGCATTCGTGGTTCAGTAGTAGAATTCTCACAGCCGTGCTAGAGGCCCAAGTTTGATTCCTGGCCAATGCAGTGTGCCCTTTTAATAGTCCTGGTGTGACTCTATAGGATAAGCACTAGACTGCTAACTGCAAGATTGACAGTTCAAAGTCACCAGCTGCTCCTTGCAAACCCTATGCAAGGTTGCTTTGAGTTAGAACTGATTTGACAACACTTTACCACAATATCTATCAATCTACCTACTTATGGAGCAGGGGCAGAGTGCTGTACTGCTAACCAAAAGTTTGAAGGTTCAAACCCACCAGCTGCTCTGCAGGAAAAAGATGTGGCAGCTTGCTTCTGTAGAAATTACAGCCTTGGAAACCCTATCAGGCATCTCTGTTCTATCCTATAGGGTCGCTATGGTTAGAACTAACTCCATGACAACAAGATCATAAATAATGTACTTTTTTGTTGTTTTTACATACATGGAGTTTATATACACCAGTATACATAAAACCAAAACCTCACTGCTAACCTGACGATTCCACCTCATAGTGACCTATAGGACAGAATAGAACCGTCACCACAGGGTTTTCAAGGCTGTCAGTCTTTACAGAAACAAGCAGCCACGTCTTTCTCACTGGAACAGTTGACGGGTTCAACCATAAACCTTTCGGTTGGCAGCTAAGCACTTAACCACCGTGCCATCACGGCCCATTTCAGTATACATACCACTACTCAAGTCTCGTAATGACTGCAGCCAATGTTCAAATGATCTAAATCCACCAGGCACCCATAGGCGCTTTAGAGATGGCAGTGCTTGCTCAATGCGTCAAGGCCCCCGCCTTAAGGGACCCAAGATGAATAAAGAACAAAGCCCACTTGTAGGGCCCAGTCAGAGACCTACGTCCCACCCAGTCCAGGCTGTCCAGGGAACAGTTAGTGACAGGCTGAGAGCCAGCGGTGACGTGGGCAGAAGCTGAGCTGGCAAGTCATCCCTGCTCCTCAGCGGCTACCTCCCACCCCCACTGCTTTGTCTGGAGGTGGGAGTGTCAGGGAGAGGGCTGGAGGAGCTTGGTGAACTTGGCAGTGGAGGGCAGGGAGCCGCTTTTGATTGTGCCAGGAACTGAGTGAGGTGCTCTGTGGAATTAATTACCTTGGATTTTTGCAAGGTCTGTGAGATGTCATAGACCCATTTTACAGGTGAGGAAAGGGAGACCCAGTGAGGCTCAATTTCTGCTCTCTTCATATGAACAATGATGGGTTGCATGCAAGCTCTCTAAGGTCCCTCTATCTCTGAAATCCTAGAATCTTCTTTCCGGAAGCAGCTCCTTGTAAACAACTTGTCCTCCCAGACTGGCAGGAGGAAGGGTGTCAGAGGGACAATCCCCAGCCACAAAGAGGTTTCTGTGGCCCTGTAGCCCCACCCAAACACAGACTCGGTGGGGTCTGTCTGGGTCCCCCAACCTCCTCTCCTTGCTCTACAGCAGCCTGGATGAAAGAGAAGACCTCACCTGGGATGATTCACTACTGTGGTGAGCCCGTGACAGGGGCAGGAGGGGGTCAAGGCGCGGGCTCTGGGGTTGAGAGTTGGCCGCGGTTCCTAGCTTACCTCCACCCTCCCTGCTGCCCAGCCTCAACCAGTGAAGAGAACTGGACTGACAGTGAGGTGGACTCCTCCTGCCCTGGGCAGCCCATACACCTGTGGCAGTTCCTCAAAGAGCTGCTGCTCAAGCCCCACAGCTATGGCCGCTTCATCAGGTGGCTCAACAAGGAGAAGGGTGAGTAAGGTTCTTGTGAGGCTGCCGGGCTGTGCGTTGGGGCCGGGGAGCAATGGAAGCCAGGGAGTCCTGGGATCTGTGGAGGCCTGACTGTGCTCTGGCTGGGGTCAGAGCTGGGCAGAGAGGTGGAGCTGCCCTTACTGCTATTACTGGGTTCCCACCTCACACCAGAGTCTATATGCAACTTGTATCCATGTTTGTCTGTCTCTCCAATAAAACACCATCTTCTTTCAGATCTCCAGCACAACACAGTGCGTGGAACATAAAACCAGTTGCTTCAGAGTAGAACTGTTCTCCACAGAGTTTTCAGCGGTAGCTGTTTCTGATGGTGATCGCCAGGCCTTTCTTTCAAGGCATTTCTGCGTGGACTCAGATTTCCAACTGCTAAGCTTACAGCCACAAATGTTAACTGATGACACCATCCAGAATACAGTTGGAGCTCAAAATTATTTGCTGAGAACTTGGACACAGTCTTTACTCTCAAAATGTCAGAGCATCACACAGGGGATTAGACCAACAGTCTAATAAGATATATAATGCAAGCCACATAATTAATATTAAATTTCCTATGTTGTTGTTGTTAAGTGCCGTCGGGTCAGTTCCGACCCATAGCGAACCTGTACAGGGTTTCCGAGGGTGTAAATCTTTACTGGAGTAGAAGGCCTCATCTTTCTCCTGCAGAGCAGCTGGTAGTTTCGAACCGCTGACCTTAAGGTTCGCAGCCCAATTCATAACCACTACACTAAAAGAAACAAACTAATTGAATTTTACATTGACATAAAATATATTTAGTCCCAGGTATCTAAGTTATTATCATTTCAACATATAATCAATATGGGAAGTTATTAATAAGATAATTTCCTACATTTCTAAATGTGAAGCATATCTTATACTCCCTAACCAAAAACGCCAAACCTGGCATTGATTCTGATTCTACGATGATTCTAATCCATCGTAACCCCATGTGTTGCAGAATAGACCTGCTCCATAGGGTTTTTCTGGCTATAACCTTTATAGTAGCACAGCATCAGACATGTCTTTCAAAGAACCACTGGGTGGTTTCAAACTATCAAGGTTAGTAGTCAAGTGCAAACCCAGGAACTTTGACCCCATATATAACGCACTGCCGTTGAGTCTATTCAGACTCATAGTGATGCTATAAGACAGAATATAACAGCCCCATAAAGTTTCCAAGGCTATAAATCTTTATAAAAGCATATTGTCACATATTTTTTCTACACAGCAGCTGGTGGGTTTGAACTTCTGACTTTCCAGTTAGCAGCCCAACACTTAACCACCAGGGCTCCTGTAACCCCATGTATAAGTCTCAATTTGGATTTGCCACATTTCAAATGCTCAGTCACCATATTGAACAGCTCAGGGCTAGCTGATGTGTGTATTTTGAAAAAGGCTCAGAGTCAAGAAAGCAGGGTCTTAAGCCATTGGTAGCTGTGGTGACTGGACCTTGGTTTATCTATAAAATGAACTAGATTCATTCACCCAACAATCCTCTACTGGGCACCTACTCAGGCCTCACACCCACTCAGTGACCTTTACAGAGAATTACAGTGTCCTGGGGGGTGAAGGGAAGGAGCTCTGTGGTGAAGCATTGGGTTACTAACGGAAAGGTGGGCCATTTGAACCCACCAGCTGCAATTTGGGAGAACTATGAGGCAGCTGGTGCTCATAAAGATTTGCAGCCTCAGAAACCTATGGAGCAGTTCTACTCTGTGCTGTAGGGTGGTTATGAGTCAGAACTGATGCTATGCTGTGAGTTGGATTTCTTTTCTTTTGTGGGGTGAGGGGTGAGGGGAGGCTCAGATTTGCCCTGTCCTTGAAGGACCTTTTATCTGGTGTGAGAACTGGCAGTGAAATGAAGTGTGTGGGACATGGTGGTCTGTGGGGCATCAGTGGGGGAAGGCTGTGCTTGGGTCCAGGATTTCATGGAGGGGATGGTGCTGAGTGTAGAGGATAAAATGGGTTGGACAGAGGTGGAGGAGAAGTTTCTGTGTGGTAACCTGGGGCGTGTGAGATGGAACCATTCATGAGGGTTAGGGCAGCCCCGTGGTAGAGTTCTGGGGAAGGAAGATTAGTGTGGAGTCTGGAAGGCTTCCTGGAGGGACTGTGCTGAACTGAACCTTGCCCACAGGGTTAGGAGCAAGCACTAAGGGAATTAATAATGTAATAAGTTGCCCCAAGGGGCACATCCTTCAGCACTTCATTCTAAGTGCTTTCTATAGCAACTCAGCAATCCCTGGGAGTCACTATTGTTATTGTTAAGTGCCATCAAGTCAGTTTCAACCCACAGCTACCCTGTATAGGGTTTCCTAGGAGCAGCTGGTAGTTTGAACTGCTGACCTTGAGGTTTAAACTGACCTTGTGGTCCAGCACATTATCCTGCAGTGCCACACCAGGACTCTAGTAATCACTACAGTGCCCTCATTACAGACAGAAAAATGTAGTCCCAGAAAGAAGCTAAGAATGGGCAGAATAGGGATTCAAACCCAGTTCTGCCCAGCTCATTGCCCCACTCATGAACTAATCCTGCATGAAAGGGTGATGTGGGTTGATGTGTCTGAGAAGGGCAAAGAAGCCCTTTTAGGCTTGGGACTGCAAGGCAAGGGCAAAGGCAGGCAGATAGCTGAGTAGAGCATGCAACGCTCTAAACAGAGACAGAGTCTCTTGACAGATCCTAGGTGGTCCAAATAACTCTCTGATGTTCCCAGGTTCACCCTGGTGGTGCTCAGGAGGCTTGTGACTCCAAGAGGTGTGAGACACCGTAGTATTCACTACCATTTATTGAGGCCTTGTATGTGTGTGACACATTTCTATACTCTCACCACAACCATGGGAGTAGATATGTGGTCTCCATTTTATAGATGGAAAAACAGAGGCTCAGACAGGCTAACTCACTTAACCAAATATCACAGAGTTGGTGAGTCCAGGAGTTGGACCTCAAGCACAGATTGCCTGGGTCACTCTTCTACACTGTGTACAATTTGGTAGAAGCAGTGTGGTGGGTGATTTGGAAAGAACAGAAATGAGGCACAAAGCCAGGTGAGTGACTGGCCCAGCCATCTTCAGGCTGGATGGTGCAGGCCTGCCCAAGTTGTGGGTATCATAGTTTGAGGTCTTAAAAGATCCCAGCTGTCTTAATTCTCTAATAATGCTGCTATGAGAGAAATACCACAAGTAGGTGAATTTAACAAACAGAAATTTATTTTCTCATTAGGAGGCTAGAAGTCCCAGTTTAGAGTGCTATCTCTAGGGGGACGTTCTTGAGGAAAATCCTGTCTTCTCATCTTCTGCTTCCTGGTTCCTTGAAGATCTCCATGTGTCTTGACATCTACCTTACCTCCTCTCTTCTCTTGTTTGTGATATATCTCTTTTATATCTCAAAAGAGACTAACCTAATTCTGTAGCTTGCGTACTGCATCATAAGCATTACTACCTTCTTAACACCATAGAGGTTTGGGTTTACAACACATAGGATAATTACATCTGATACAAAATGGAGGATACTTACATAATAATAAGAATCATGACCTAGCCAAGTTGACACATATTTTGGCAGAGACACAATTCAATCTATAACAATGGGTGAGATTGTAGGTGAATTCTATCCTGGGACAAAATACCTTTTCATCTATGAACCTGTAAAATCAAGACTATAATTTGTCTGTTTCCAAAGTACAATAGTAGGACATGGATAAGACATTTCCATTACAAATGGGAGAAATTGGAGGAAAGAAAGGATAATACGCATCAAACAAATTAAAAAATCCAGAACAATTTACATTGATTGGCTCGTAGTCCTCGTGTGGCACTACTGTAGGTTAATGTGCTCAACTGCAAAATCAATTTGAACTGCAAAGTCGGTGGTTCAAGCTCACTGCTGCTCCTCGGAAACCCTATACAGAGTGGTTATGGGTCAGAACCAACACAACAGCACTTGTTCTCTGAGACCATTTAGGCAATGGCCCTGTCCTGTAGCATCTGGGTGTTGGCCAGACTCTCTGGATTCTGAGTGGAGGACACTTAGTCCTTGGTTTCAGCTCTGCCTTCTGGTCTACTGGGATGGCAACTCAATTTTGGGTGGCCCCACTCTCCTAATCTACCTGAATATTACCCCCCATATCCTTGGCCCCCAAAGGCCCTGTTCTAGTGCTACTTGAGTATGACAGCCCCACTCCCTCAGCTTTGGGTGGTAGCCCCAGCCCTCTGGCACACTTTAATGGCAGCCCCACACTCTGGAACCAAATTGACAAAGATCTGATTTTGAAATCTAGGAGGCTGTGGCCCCTTTGAGATCCAGGTGATCATGGCCCCACCCTTTGAAACTGAGAAAGCCCTGCTTCCTGTGCTCCTTCCAACAGTTCTGCTGACTTCCAAACTATACCAGTAATGGTTCTTTTCTTAAAGGACAACAGATGTAGCTCCTTTGACCTGCTTCCTGCCTGTGGAATTCCAAGGGCAGACAGCATGCTTTCCTTTCCCTCCTTTTGTCCCCTTCAATCTAAGCCGATGGGCTTTGTGCTGTGGTAGTTGGTTAGATCCATTAGTCACAGACTTAATCTCTTTAACAAAAGATTGTGTAGCCACATCCTTGGTGAACATTCTAGGACACGTGTCCTTAAGTTTGTATAACAGAATTTTTGAAATCTTTTAGTTCTGTTTTCATTCTGCACAGTTCATTTTAGAGTCCATCTCTTTCCTCATGCATTTTACCAAAAGTGGCAAGGAGAAACACACGACCCCTTTGAGATCTTGTTTAGAAATCTCATCAGCTAGACATCCAAGTTTGTCACTTAAAAGTGCTACCTTCCAACACTGAACATAATTTATTCGAGTACTTTGCCAACTGCATAAAAAGCATCACCCTTCTTCTGTTGTCCAATTGCATGTTCATAATTTTCTCTTTTTTCTGTAACTTTTTATTGTAAATTGGGTGAAGGTTTACAGATAAGACCATTATTTTTACATTCAACAATTCATACACATTTTGTTTCATCTCATTGATTGCAATCCTCTCAATGCAACATCACTTATTCCACTTCCTCCATTTCCTCCATTGGTTTACTGTTTCTATTTCTCTCCTTGGGAAAATGCTTCCCATTTGATCTCAATGACTTGATTATTCTAAGGTGTGCATATCTCCCTAGTGTTATTGTTCCCCATGGAGACCTGATTATTGTTTGGCTGAAAACTGAGCCAGAGGGGTGAATTCAGTTGGAGACCTGAAGTGTGATCAAGGAACGCAGTGTTGGGGCTTTATGATTCTCAGTTTGATCTCACATTTTTCTCCCACTCTATCTAGGACCCTCTAATATGATTCCTTTCAGAGAAGTTGGTAGTGGTAGCTGGGTATCATCTAGTTCTTCTGATCTCAGGGTCTTAGAGACTGTGTGTTCATGTGGTCTCTGAGTCCATTGGACGAATCGATAGTTGGACCTTAGATGGCCACTTTTCAGTTCCCAGTCACTAGTCACCAAAGTGGTTGTTGTTAAGTGCTGTCAAGTAGGTTCCAACTCATAGCAACCCTGTATAGGGTTTCCTAGGAGCGGCTGGTGGGTTTGAACCACCAAACTTATGGTTCAAACCAACTTTGCAGTTCATTGCATTAACCCACATCATCACACCAGGACACCAAAGTAGGATGTAGAACATGTGTCTCTGGATTATGTTATGCCAGTTGATCTTGGCGTCTCTCAATACTATGGTTTTGGGCCCATGCCCAGAGACCCATTCTCTCAAGGTGTTTATGTCTAAGAAGTTTTCATAACTTTGTCCCCTGTATACTTCACAACATTCACATCATTTTCTTTTAAAGTCTTGCCAGAAGCACATTTAATGCCCACATTTCTAGCAGCATTCTGTTGCTGGTGCTAGATGATAGAGACTTTCTCTATAGCAGTCCTTACTTCCTTCTGAGCTCTTACCAGAGTTGCCTTTGATGTCCATAATTCTACCCACAGTTTCTTTAAGACAGTGTAGGCTTTTACTTTCATGCACTTTAAATCTCTCCAGCCTCTACTCATTACCCAATTCTAAAACTGCTTCCACATTTTGAGTTTCTGTTAGAGCAGTACCTCATTCTCTCGGTACCCAATTCTGTCTAAGTTATCTAGTACTGCTATAGGAGAAATACCACAAATAGGTTGCTTTAACCCAGAGAAATTTATTCTTTCACATTTTGGGAGAATAGAAGTCTGATTTCAGGGTGCCAGCTAGGAGAGGTCTTCCCTTCTCTATGAGCTCAGGCTGAAGGTCCTAGTGTCCTTAGTTTTAGTTTATGTTTCCTGCTTCCTTGAGATCTCCATTTGTCTTGGCATCTATGTTACCCTACCCTACCTCTTCTCTAGCATTTAATCTCTATTATATGGCACTCAACAACAACAACAACAACAACATATCTCAAAAGAGTTAGATTCAAAACTCACCCTATACTAATCCTACCTCAGTAACATAGCAAAGACGACCCATTCCTAAATGGAATGACAAGCACAAGCATAGAGGTTAGGGTTTATAATGCATATTTTTGAGAGACCATAATGGCAGGATACGACAACAGGGAGGTCTGTCCATTTTGCTCTCCAACCCACCTTACCCTCCTGCCCTGACCTGAGCAGAGGGAGGTCCCAGCACTGGTTCCCTTGGTTTTCATGAGACTAACCTGTTGGTTTCCGTCTTTCTCCCTCCTACCCCACTCCCTCTCCTGCTTCCATCATGGCTCTCTTTGGATCCTTCTGATCCTGAAGGCATCTTTAAAATCGAGGACTCGGCCCAGGTGGCCCGGCTATGGGGCATCCGCAAGAACCGTCCTGCCATGAACTACGACAAGCTGAGCCGCTCCATCCGCCAGTATTACAAGAAGGGCATCATCCGGAAGCCTGATATCTCCCAGCGTCTGGTCTACCAGTTTGTGCACCCCATCTGAGGGCTGTGGGTGGGCCTAGGGCCTCCCTGGAAACCTGCCCATGCCAGGCCTTCCTCCTGCCTGCCCTGCCTTGGCAAGACCCAGACTGGCCATGGAGAGGTCAGTCCAGGGCCAGAGAGGGGGCAGCCCATGCTCCCAGGGGTGTAAGAGTGCTCTCTGGAGCCAGGGACCCTAGGGTGGTATACTTCCCCCTCAGGCCTAACTACTTACCTGCCCCGGCAATGGGATAGCCCCATGGAGGACAGGGCACCTGGGCTGTTCTCAGTGTTCACTGCTCCCCAGGGAATGACTTCCTCCAGCCTCACCCACAGACCCCAGAATTGCCCAAGCAGAGCCAAAAGCCTACAGGATGGCAGTGGCCTGGCCAAGGTCACTTATTAGTGGCCAAGCCAGGTCCCTTGACTCTCAGTCTAGTGCTCCCTCTGCCCTAGCCCACTGCCATCCATTCTGTACCTGCCTGGAACAGTGCTGGGAGAAGTTTGTATCCGTGAGCTGGGGAGCTGGGGTGCCCATGAATGGATAATAAAGATATTAGAGAACTGATATGTACGTCCCCAGCATATGTGTGAATAGCACAGCCGGAGTCAGTGATCCAAAGTGCTGTGAGCACAGGGACCTGGGGTGATCCAGGGAGGCTGCTGGAGGAGGTGGCATTCAGCTGGGCCTGAATAGAAAGGTACAGTTAACTGGTAGGAACTTTCCAAGAGAAAGACAGTGACTCCTCCAAGACCAAGGGAAGGTTGGAGCCTTTGGTTGGGGAAGGTGGGGCTAGGACTGAAGAGAGTTCAACATGAAGGATTGGAGGATCTACAGCTTCTTGCTCAGCTGAGGGTTAGGACTTTGTGCTTGGGGACTGACCGGACAGCTTACCTTCCTTTGAGGTGGCACAGAGCCTAGAGAACTAGACCCTGCCATGCTGGCCCTCTGGGATGGGGGGAAGGGTAGGTGGAAGAAACGTTGACTTGTTTGAGGCTTCAGCCATGCACTCTGTGAAACTACAAGCCCTGAATGGTGTGAGCATGTGAACATGTGTTGGGGAAGGGTGTGTGCGTGCGTGTGTGCATGCACACTAGATGGGGACCCATCTAGTCAAAGTGCCTCATGCTTCCTCATGCTTCCCTTCCCCTGGAAGTCACCTGGAATGCACTGAGCCACTTGTATGTCCTGACTATGTGCTAAACATTTCTCCTGCTTTTCTGTCATGAAACCTCCCAATAAAACCATGAGGCAGGGTACCTCCCCCATTTTGCAGATGATGAAACTGAGGCTGGGAGAGGGTAAATGACTTGCTCACAGTCACACCATCAGTGGCAGAACCAGGAACTGAACCCACATCTATTGCTCCCCAAGGACAGGGCACTATCTGCCAGTCCACACCTCTAGCCTGGTGACGACAGCTTCTCCATGCTTCACAACCCTGGGCCTCTGGGGATAGGCTCTGGGAGACCTGAGGGAAAACCAGTGCCCCAGACCGCCAAGGGTTAAACCCTGTCCTCTGCTGCCTCCTTCTGCCTCCAGCAATTTTATTGTCTCCTGAAGAAAGTTTACTTCTGACAATGAGCAAACAGCACCTTGGCATCTGTTAGTGGGCCTGGACCCAGGCGGGAGGAAGGAGCCCAGCCCCAGGCTTGTGCCTCACTGGGTCCCTGCTGTCTGCCCACACCCAGGGATGGGGCAGACTGGCCCCCAGCCAGATGCTAGCATGGCTGAACTGGTTTTGTCTCCAGCCCACCAGCCCTGCCCCCTACCGAGTCCCTGGAGCCACCTGCTAGCATGTCCCAGCTGGGCCTGGGCCTGGGCCTGGGCCTGGAGATGTCTTGGATGTCTTACCAGGGGCTGGAAGGAAGGAGGATTAGAGGTGTGGAACTGGAGTAGCTCCCTAGCTCCAGCTACCGGGCTCCGGTAGAGCTGCTCCCTACTGAGTGGATCTGCTGAGCGTGTCCCTTGTCAAGTATCCACCGACCAGTGACAACTTATATGCTGGCAGCTAACTAAGAGTTCCTCTTCTGCACCTTCCCACCTGGCCTATATCTTCCCTGAGCCCTTCTGCACAGGGCCCCCACATCCAGGGCTCCCCAAAGCTAAATGGAACAGTTTCAGAGTAATACAAGGTAGCCTTTCATCTTTATTTGAAGATTCGTTTTGGCTAGAAGCAAGAGTTCAAATGGAGGTGGATATTGAGGGGATTAAATGAGATGGCGCCCTGGTGGTACAACTCTGAAGCGCTTGGCTGTTAACCAGAAAGTTAGTGGTTCTAACCCCACAGCAGCTCCACAGGAGAAAGGCCTGGTGATAGACTCCTGTGAAAGGCTGCTGTTTGCTGTTGTTCGGTGATGTTGAGTCAGTTCTGACTCAGAGAGACCCTGTACAGAGTTACTGAGGAGCACCTGGTGGGTTTGAACTGCCCACCTGTGATCCAGTGCATTACCCTACAGCACCACACTTACAGCCTAGATAACTCCATGGTGCAGTTCTACCTTCACATGGGGTCACTATAAGTTGAACTCACAGTTGTTTTGCATCACAGGTTTGGGTCAGGGCCCTACCAGAGAGATACCTAGGATGGGGGTAGGGGTGGGTGCACAGGGAACTGATGGCAGAGTCAGGACTAGGCCTGGGACAGAGATCCAACAGGGTTGGACAGAGGACAAGGCAGGGGCTGGGAAGGACTGGGTTGAGGCAGGGTGGGGTGAGACCTGGGGTAGAGGGGAGGTCTGGGTAGTGGTCCGGCTTGGGCTGAACACAGTTGAGAGGCCAGAGCTCTGATGTCACTCACTCCCCAGAGAAGTTCTCCTGGAGGGTCCTCCTAAAGGTCCCACACAGAAATGTTTCTAGAGGTCAGGCAGGACACAGGAAGGCATGCCATGGCCTGATGTCACACCACAAGCCAGCTGTGGCACTGCAGGCAACCAGGAGCCATATGCCTTAACTGTCAGTTTTAGAATTTTGCTTTAAAAATCAACTATTTTGGGGTCAAATTTACCCTTGAACAGAACATTAAGGACACAAGAAAGCCAGAGCTGTAGAAGCCCCAAGTACAACCCTTTCCCATACAGACAGGACCTAGGGGCCTGCCCATGGTCATCCAGGATGACACCCAGTCTACCCACACCTGCCCCCAGCCCCCGTCATCCTTCAGGACTGAAGACGCATAAGACTCAAGATGACCAAGTCTAGCCAGGTTGACACAGTTCTGGATTTTATCCACAGTCATAGAGTCACAACTTATATATATATTTATATTTATATACCTTTAAATTACACGATCATGTACAAAACAGGTGCATTGCTGAGACCACAGCACTTCTCAGAGACTCACAAGTGTCGGAACTAATGGAGTCAGGAAGCCTAGGGCGGCAGGCGGCGGGTGGTGGGGCAGCCCTGGCTCCTCACAGGACCAGGCTGCAGAATGGTGGTTAAATGGGGGCAAAACACAGGACTCACTGAACCCCGCCAGGGCGGGCCCGTGCAGCATCGAGGGTGTGGACAGGGGGTTGGTTATAGGAGGTGGCTGTGGGCACATGGTGGGCACATCCCCCAGGCTAGGTGTTCAGTGCCCTAACATGAGTACTGACAGGTAGGGCTGGGCCCCCAGAGCTGATGGGGGCTTCCAGGGAGACCCTCCTTCCTGCTCTGGGGTCCTGAGAAGTCTGGGGACCAAGAACCCAGGTGGGACCATGAAGGAGGCTGCTCTGAAGGGATGGGGTTTTGAATTGTGCCCAGACTGGGCAGCTAAGAGGACAGGCCTGGAGTCCAGCAGGGTCAAAGCCCCTCCCCAGGCACTGGGAAGTCACTGGCACAGACAGGGGGAGCCCAGGCCCCAAGGTGCAGATTACCCGGATTTCTGCCTTTCAAAGGTTCATGGTAAGGGGTAGAGGCTTCAAGCCTAATTCCTGCCTCGTGGAAAGGCTGAAGAGGCTTTTGTTTTGGAGTTTGGAGGGCTGGCGCAGCCCTGGATAAGGGCTTCTGGAATCTCTCGCAGGCTCTGAGGGTCTAGGACCCATCTCAGGAAGCAGCGGAGGCCAGGACAGCAGACAGATGCTGAGGGAAGGGGATTCCCTGCTCCAAGGTGCCATCGCTCCTACTCCCCAACTCCTTACCCTGAGAGAAGTCCACTTAGTCTCCCAGGATCCTCCCCTGCCCACACAGAAACAGTCAGTGCCTTGAGGCAGGGTCTACTCCCTCCTCACAGTGGACTGCTGGAAGAAACCACAGGAAGCAGGAGGTCTAGAGATGGGCCGAGGAACTGGGGCATCTCACTCTTTACCTGATGCCGAAAAGGGAGAGCGTCTAAGGACCTGAGGTCTCTAAGTGGCATAGGCCATGAGTAAGTTTCACCTGGTGCTGAATGAAGTCTCAGATCCCTGCCCCAGGTGCCCTTGAGAGATCCCTCTTCCTGCCACTCCTTCACTTCTTGGGGTCTTGTCCTACACTGGTCTGCTTCTCAAGTTCCCCCTCTCCACTTCAGCATGACTTCAGCACCACTGCTTTTGTTAACCACAGGAGTCCCTCCTTGCTCTGAGCAGGCCCTTTACCTCCTCCCACCCACAAGTCCTTTCACTGGGGCTCAGGGGCTGTCAGCACAGGCAGTACTGTTCCTGGTGTGAAGGTGACAAGGAAAAAAAACCAAAACACAGTGACTGTTCTGCTCCTGATGGCCAGGGCTCCTCCCTCCTGCCAAATGCACGCCTCCTCCAATGGCTACAGGCTTTCCCCTGAAGGGCCCAGGCTGGAGGTGTCCATGGGCCTCAATGTCTCCCCAGACAGGCCTGGGAAGGGGAAAGAGGAGTGGGAGCCAAGGGCCTTGAGGCTTGGTCTCAAGGAGGCTAATAATGCGGGTAGGGTGGGAGGGTGGACAAGATACGCTCCTCCCCAGGAAATGGGAGGAGGCTGCTACTGTTGCTGGCTTTCCCCTGGACGTCGGGGCCACTCCTCCTTGCCAGAGGACTTATTTAAGGGGTGGGGGGCAGGGGTCTCTGCAAGCTACTGAGGGCTCTCAGGAAGAGTCTGCACCCAAAGTGCTGACAGTTGGAAAAAAGGGCCCAAACAGGCTCTTGGATCTTCAGCTGGGCCTGGAGTTGAGGG